TTTGAGTTTTAAGTTTTCCGCCCTAGCATGGTTTGTATATTTAGAAAATTTCAATGTATGCTTCATTATCCCTACTATAAACATGTAATGTTCTACTATAAACATGTAATATTTCTTGGAATAAATAAATTTATTATTATTATTACAAGAAAACATATTAAGAAGGGTTATGAAATACAAGGGTGACATATTATTGAGGAACGCTTTTACAATTTTTTTCAATTATCTTGGTTGTAAGAAGTAAAATTACTTTGATCCAGGGTGTTGAGTTGCAATAAAACCTGCCAAAAAATGTAATAAGCTAGCACTCATCAAATTAGTGAGAGGGAAAAAAATATATTATTTAATCATAACAAAGGTACTTAAGGTATCTTACTATACATTTTTCAAATCAATGAAAAATTCTGATTTTTAAGGTATCCACATGGATCATTTTCTAATTTGGCCCCACGTTGGGCGCCAAACCAAATTGTAATAGCTCAGTAAGCAAATGAGGTTTCGTTAAATTTTTCACAATTTATTCCAAATGACAGCAAATAAAAAATATTCATGATAAATGAATGGTATACATCATTTTTTTGTAAAGTACTCTTTGATTATCACAAATAATTGTGAAAGGCTACACGGGTTAATTATATATTGGTTTACTGTAATGATAACTCTTTTCGGTTAATATTTTGAATAACTAAAAAAAAAAGTATTAGAGAAGAATGTATTTTAACGTTCTAGATACCTCTAGCGGTTTCGGTAATCATCTATTCTTTTCGTGGCGATTCGTCGATCGCATTCCTTTCGCGGTGAGTCATATGTTTGGTGTCTGAGATAACGGTCAGGGCCGGCTTCAGATTCATTACATTATATTATTTAACCTTAACCAAGTCAGTATTAGTGCTGCATAGTTGAAAATCGTCCAAGAATAGTCAAAAAACATTTCATTTTCTGAAATTTTTAATTAATCGTTAATGTAATAAATACATTGTCATCTCAATTCTTCAAAAAACTATCCCCAAGTAAATAAAAAAAAAGTAAAGCACTACATTATAGACAGTTCATGTTTGAATTTATATTTGAGTAAAATGTTCATTGCAAACCTACACAATATTTCTAAATTCGGCATTTTAATTTTAGGTCATCAAGAGATAGANAATTTATACGGAAATTTTGGGCATACTCCTAAAAAATATAACCCCTTCAATTCATACTTGTTCCTCTTGCTGTAGCACCTGTATTTTTTAATATCTGTTTTGAGTTTTAAGTTTTCCGCCCTAGCATTTAGGATGATTTTGATGGGTTTTTGTGTTATGATACAAATCTTTACTATAAGTGTAGCTTTGTTTTTTGAGACAATAAATGCATCCATCTCTTTACCATAAATTTTATATGATTTGCAAAATCACATTTTTTGTTCGAATTGAAGAACCGTCTAGTCAGTTAATCATTGAATCAAACCAACGTCATTTCTATAACTTGAGTAGGAAATTAATTAAAGCAAAATCAAACTTCATGTTACTATAGCATAGCCCCCAAAAGCATTCAATTCATAATCAAATACCAGATAAAAATGTTTCGATAGTTCATAGATCTCATCAGTGGTATAAGGCGGGATCATGTATATAACTTTTGAACTCATCTGTTCTTATGGGGAAGTAAGACCCTAATAGATGATGTCTTCGCAAGAGTAGTTTTATCATGCCTAGATCAAAATCTAACTTATTTCAGTCGAGCGATGGTCGTTCAGCCGGTGTTTCTGGGTTAGTTGGTAAGGTACGTGGACTGAGAGAAGATGTCCAAAGAAAAATTTCAAGGCTGAAAAATGATACTGCCGAACTCCAAAGAATGGCGGATCAATCCTTCCAATGCTCAGCAAGTTCTGTTGAAAGTTTACCAAGCGGATCTGGTTCGAGTAAGTTTTGTTATTATTCATCATATTCCAAAGTATTGTTTGAGGTACTCATACTATATGGAGTTTTAAATTTACGTGGACTGTTGAAAAAATAAGGCGAATGTTCAAATTTTGTGAGCTATATACGCTCGATTAGCGATTTTTTTTATTTTTTATATTGGTGAGAGGCATAAAAGTTAGAAGGGTTTGCGTGTTTGGCGATTTTCTGCTGTCGAAAAAATGGATCAAATAATTTGCATCAAATTTTGTGTGAAAATGGAGTTAAGTGCTCAAAACACTGAAAATGTTGACACTGGCATACGGTGATTGTACTCTGAGTCATAACAATGTTTAAAAGTGGTACAAGCTCTTCACAGAGGAGGTCGAAAATGTTGTTATGGACAATCATCGAATCACTATTACCTAAAGAAGTTGCTGAGGATGTCGGCAGATCGGTTAATTGATGCCATGCAAGCGTGTGGCAGCGAAATTCGTTCTAAAATTACTGTATTTTCGCAAAAAAAATCGTCGCATAACCATCGTTCAGGAATTGTTGAATCACGTCAACTGCGATCACGAATCATGGGTATATGGTTATGACATCGAAACCAAAGTCCAATCGTCCCAATGGAGAGCCAAGACCAAAGAAAATCACGTCAAGTTTGATCAAATGTCAATGTTTTGTTCACTGTTTTCGCCGATTACCGTGACGCAGTCCATCAGGAGTTCTTGCCACATGGTCAATAATAAGTATTATCTTCAGTTCCGTTTCCGATATGGTGGTGTACGGACGTGCTGATAACGACCGTCCACAAAGAAGATACGTGGACGCCATTGTTGGAGACGGAATTCAGTTCGTGTTGTGAATGTCCGTTTTATAATGTTTTTTCAAAAACTACATCTAATGATTTAATCTCCACAAAGTTTTTGAAATTACTATGGATCTTCATCAAGTACCTAACGGCCGAATCAATCAGAAAATTAAAGGAAGCTACGACTAGTTTCTTGGCCTTGTGGTACTTCAAGTTAATTAAACTTTGTGGAGATCAAATCGCATTCCTTGGCATGCAACCACAAGTTTCCGAATCTAAACGATACGGAAATTTTGCGCTATGCAAGGAAGGGTTACAAACTCAATTATTTAGAATCCTTGGAAATTCACAAGCATAAACATTGCGGGTGCAACCTGTTAAATGATCAAATCGATTTAGTTTATTCGCCGGTTTTTAAATTGGCACATCCGCATTGTAAACTGTAAATTCAGGTACTCAATCAAGCCAAGTACCTCTATTAGTACCTACAGGGGTGGTATATAATGGCTAATGTAATGAACCATTTTTAGTTTATTTTATGAGTTTGAAAATGTCCGTATAGGACGAAACTGCAGTAACGTTAGTTACAAATGAAATTGGTAAAAAACATAAAAAGTATAATTTCTCTTTTCTTCTGTATTGTATATGTTTGCCGTTGGAAGACGTTCCTTGAAAATATATTAAGAAGTATCAAAAATGGAGGGCAGTACTGCAACAGCAAGACTTCTGTAGTCCCACGAGTAGACGTGGCTTACTGCGCCTGAATGGCAGCAAAAGCCAATATTAGAGAGAGGGAAAGAGAGAGAGAGAGGGAGAGAGAGAGAGAGAGTATTATCTTGAAGTTATGAACTGCTTGCGAGAAGCAATTTGAGAAAAACTTCCTGTATTGTGGAAAAACAATTTATGACATTTGCATTAATGATAATGCACCTGCTCACTCGTCATTGCCTGTTCGTATTTTTTTGGTCACAAACAACATCGTAATCATGCCTCAGCCACCGTATCCACCAAATTTGGCCCCCTGCGACTTCTCCTTTTCCCAAGATTGAAGAGATCCATAAAAGCACGGCGTCTTGCCATGACTGAAAGTTTTCATTATCTAATTTGTGTATCATTCTGTAAAGTTATATTTCAATATCCACCAAAGTTTATTGTTGGACCAAATAAAAGAGTGACTTTGAAGTTTTCTTTAAAAAAATTGGCTTGTAGTTGAATCCTTGCTTTTAAAAGAACATTGAACTTGCACCCGCACGTTATTCAATGTTATATGTTTTTAGCTCGATATTTATTTTTTAATAATTTATTTTACAGGCACTCAAGCATTAGTTAGGGCTGGCAGTAACCATAGCTCCATTTCCACTGAGGAACCAGATCCAAGTCCAACAGATCAAATTGTGGGAAGGGCCAGAGCTTTAGTAGATCAAACTCCGAGTCCGTATGATATGGAAGCATTAAAATTCAAGGTTAGCAAAAATATTTTCATTAAAATTTTGTATAAATCTGATTTAAGTTTTCATTAAGAAGTCGTGTTTAACATATTGCGACAAATTAATACTGGTGAAATGTGACTTTCAATTGCAGTTTTTTTTTCATTGAGTCTTAATTTTTCATAATTTTTGATTTTTATCATAAAATTTCACCATCAGATACAGTTTTCATCTATCTAGTTTGAAAACAGGAGTTTTCCTATGAAAGTCTCCAATTTGGCCCACTCTGTACAAGACTATTTAAAAAAAAATTAAATATGCTTACTTGCTTACATTATTTTCCCAAAATTCATCCATTGTTTTCTTTCTAGGCTGGTGATATAATAGATATAGTTTCAATGAATGCTAGCGGACAATGGAGAGGAATATGCAGAGGCAAAAAGGGAACCTTCAAATTTATCAACGTTGAACTTCTGTCGGAGAGATCCGTTAAACCAAAAAGAGAAATCAAATGGCATCGAAATATAAAAGGAAAACCGGCATCTGTGGAAGACTTGTTGCAAAAAATGAGTTTGCATGAGTACATTTCTGTATTTATCTTAAACGGTTACGAAGATTTAGAGCTCTTCAAAGAGATAGAGCCATCTGATTTGGATTATCTAGGAATAGTCAATACAGAGCATCGATCGAAACTTCTCACTGCCGTACAACTTCTTCACGAATTAGACTGTAAGTAGTTTCATGACACAGTGTGTACTCATGAAATGGACAGATTTTCATAGTTTCCAATTCTTTGAAACACAAAAAGGATATTATCTACAAGTTTCCTAATTTTCAGCTCGATAAACAATAAGGATAAGGGAACAATGGTATATCTGTTTATTTCCCGTTATCCAGTGGTCAACAGTGGCTTTTTATATGACTCTTTCTCAAATATGTTCTTTTAGCAGGTAGTGAAGGAGAAATCGCAGGCTCAAGTAGTGAGTGTGATGAACATCGAGGCTTAACGAGAGACACAGGTGGTTCTCCTTTCGGCAGGAGACAGTTTCCCAGAGATTCTGGATGCTATGACGCATCAGTAAAGAGCAATCGTCAAAACCAACACACCTCTCCGCAAGGTGAATCAGATACAAGCGATAGTGCTGGCTTTAGTGACACCAAAAATAATCTAGATTCTGTAGTAGAACAATGTAATAATGAAATCCTCGCTAGGGTCAAACAAGCGCAGGTAAACTCTATCAACCTGAAAGAAGAACTGTCTTACCAACCAAATATCTCCAACTCTGCTAGCATTGAGCTTCAGCTGTTACAGAAAAAACCGAAAGATTCCTATGTAAGTGTCCACGGACAAACTACTTTAGTTGACCCATGTCGTAAAAATAATCTAAATCGGGCCAGTGGCCGAAAGAATTTTGAAGAAACATGTGAAGGGGACCAAAAGCTGACATCGGAAAAATATGTTGTAGGTGGAGCCAGCGATTTAGGTTTGGAAACAGGAAATGTGAATGTGCTCGGAAGAAGTTGTCTAAGTGAGAAATCCAGTGATTCTGGAGTTAGCAGTAGTTCCTTGTCTTCTGCGAATACTAAAGAAATACGTCCCGTCCTGACTCAACATTTGATAGATAACCCCGCCCATGGTAACTTTAAGAAAAAAAATCCGCCTACATAACCTTTTTTATGAGTATTCTGCTGTTGCTGGAGGAGTAAATCAGACCAAAATTCAACTCAAGAAAATCTGACAGTCGATTCTGCCAGCCTAAAGTAATTCGATTTCATTTTACATTGTTTTCTCTTCAACCCTAAGAACCTTATACTGTGTGAACCATTAGAACGGCTTAGATGATGATAGATTTGACTGAGGCAAAAAACATTGGCTCACATTTTCATATAGATTCTCAAGGCCTTGAATATTTTTCTCCACACTTCCCCTGTAGGATACATGTAGGTATGTGATTTGTCTGTACAATTTAAATTTTTTTTTCAAGAAAAAAAATGATAGTAGAAATTGAATTCAGTGTTTTTTAACTTTTAGCATCATATTTTTGTCACACTTCTAATAAGTCAAGTCCCCAAAACTCTCGAGATTATTCTGTCTAAAGAAATAAACAATAATCAGTGGAAAAAAGCTAAAAATTTATAAGTTTCAGCTCGCTTCCTCTCAGCATATTCATAATCAAGGCTATGTCCTTTGTAAAGGTAGAGCATCTGTCTGACTACCGATAATGACAACCAAATATTTCTAGGTTAACTAGATATTTCAAGTTGTGTACAGGTATTCTACTTTTCATATTCAAAAATCTGTACTTAGAGATTAATTCTAGATATTTCAGGAAATATATTTGAAATAAAAGGATCCCTAAAAGTACTAGACTATTTGGAAAGTGTTCATTTTGTGGTAAACGTTTTTGAAAATGTTATTAAGACTCAATACCAATAAACTTAAGAGCTTGCTGAGCTCCTAATTTGAAAAAATATCAATAGTAGTAATGTTTATTGATTCAATGTACGTTATAACGAATTCAGAGAAATCTTTAAGAAAAACTGGGGCTATGGGAGAATGTAAACACTCAATGCCACTGTATATTAATTAAAAACAGGCTATCTCTGGCAATTTCCAATAATGAGTGGTTCATTAGAAAAAGTATTATTAATTTGTCTGGTCTAAGAAAAATAAGGAAATTGATTATCAGTAGCAAAATACACAAGTGCTGAATTGACGCTGTTTTTTTTTTAATTTCTATACCATTTTCAATCTATATAAAAATTCATTTCAGTTCAATCTAAAAATGTAAATAATAATGGATTATACTTGATTTGTTAACAACTATTTGTTTGAAAAATCAATTTCCCATGCCGAAAATCTAAGAAACTGAGAATTTTTTTTCAGAATGGGAGTAATAACATTGGCATTTTCAATGTTATTTTGTGCCAATTCTCAGCGCACTGCCAATGAAACATGCATTCATGTGGTTTAAGAATTTTTTATATGTTCAGGCAAGAAAGATTAACAAAGTATGATGATTCGCATAAAAAAAATAAGTCACATTGCTGTGCTACTCTACTCTGTCATCACTGTTTAACTAAATATTCGGTTAGAATAGAATTTTTCAATATCATAATACTGTTAATCTGTCCTGTGGATGAATACCTTACTTCTATATCATACTACTTCTCACTTGACTACTAAGCTGAGATATATCTACATGATGGACTGTTTATAGGAAAGCAATTTTTTATCAACTTAAAATCAAATACTTAAATGTTAATAAACGTGATAGCAAATGAGATTTCTAATTTTGTTTGTCTCATATTAGAACTTATATGTACATAAAAATGAAGAAAATATGTATATTCTGTATATAATCTATATCAGTAAAATGCAACTAGTCCATTTTCTTTTGTAAATAAGAAGCTTCTAAAGGTAGTTGCAAGTTTTTTCTTTATTTTTACTATTGACTGAGTTATGTGTATTTCTTCATACGCATATCATCTGTTGTACATGTTACTATTTGTAATTAGAAAGTGTTATATGTCAGTCAATAAATTAGGTAAATTTATTAAATAAAACCAATAAGAAATTATGTGACTTTTCTTTTCCCAACCTTCTAAGGCCCTAACAAAATATTCATCAATTCAGAATGTATGTATTCTTATGCCATGAACATAATTTCACAAAACACACACAGATGTTTTTGCACAAATCTATTAATTAAATCAATAATTATGAAATATATATTTACTGAATAATAAATTGATGAAAGAAACTGCTAAGTTGGTCGGTGGTTCAAGCCCTAGTCTGAACGATCGATCTTCACGTGCTATCGTCCAACCCGTGTTAGGAATCACACGTTAAAAGGTAAGACCTCGTTAATCCCTAGATCGCACAAGTTTCGACTTCTGAGGGTTGTCGTTCGTAGGGGTGCGACAGCTGGTTAACGGAAAAACAGATTTTAAATAGATTTTTAAGTGATTCATCCTCTTGTTTCTTTGAAAGTCTATTTCTCTATGACGCAGTCGGAAAACGAAAAACTTCAGATCAATTATGATAAAAGCAGTGGAGATAAGGGTGACCTGGAAACCAAACTAGTTATTGAAAGAGAACAACTTTACCATATGATGTCAAAATTGCTGACTCGAATTTGAATGCGCTAAATTCATGGCAGGCCGTTTATAATAATAATAAATGTCTTTATTGTTTACAACTAATAAGGTTCAATAGTTAATGAACAGTATGGGCAAAAATATGAATAAGTTGGAAACAAAAGGCGAAGTTCAATTTTTATAACGATAAATTGTTATTAATTGCTGATGTTGACAAAAATTAATTGATTCGACTCGGGTCTACCTGTTTTTTTTCTGATCCCAAAAAAGTTGTTTGTGAACGCTTGAGTTGGATTCTTTGCAGATTTGCGGAAAATTTGTAAATGTTTCAGCCTGAGACAAATTGAACACTAAATTTTGGAAAACATTCTGAAAATTTGGCACTGTTATAGTACTTGATAATGAAGGATTCAACCATGTTATCGTTGGATTCGCAGCCGAAAGACTCTGCGTTGAAAAATTTGCAGCTACAGAAGAATTATTTCAAGGTTTCACCTTGAGTATGGAAAGTTGATCTTCCGCTGTATCCCGTTGATACTACGGTGCTCTAGAATTTCGTCCTTCGGGATGCTGATCTGTTCGATTTCAAAGAGGTCGCAGGAAGTATCCAGTTGCACGTGATAAAGATTTATCCAAAACCATAATTTTCAATCAACCCTACATTCGGCGCCAAGTTGCAGATCCCAGGTTGAGGGGTTGTGATGGACTGATTGAAAAACGATGATCGATTGACACTTATAATGAGCTTTCCACAAATGGTGAGAGACGGTTCACAGGCGATAGCAATCCACGAGAATTCATAATATCGTTGAAGAAGAGAACAAATTATGGAAATCAAGTTTTGCTATTTTGTTAATAACAATTGCAATTTTTTACCTGCGCCAAAATCCTTCAAAAACATTTTTCTAGAGGTGATTCCCAATCGAATGAGCTATCACTCATATTTTTAGGACCTTTATCTCTATTTTTCATGTTTTTGAACTTGTTGATTAGACTATTTTTCATGATGATCTCCTACCACATAGTAATGGCTACATCAATCAATTTATCAATATTTAGGTTGTTCACCATAATATAAACAAAAGGTCGATTCAAGATAAAAAGAATCCATTTCATCGATGGGATAGTAGCCTTTGTAAATTTCAACAATGATGAACGACCAAAGTAAGCCCTTTTTTGTAACATAGTTCTTTCACAGGAGTGATGACTTTGTAGAGGGGAGTTTTGTTGTATAAGAACACAAGCATTGCAAACTTTTTGACAAGTGAAGTTATAAGTTAGGGATTCATCTTCTTGTTTCTTTGAAAGTCTATTATATATTTTTCAGATGAACTGTTAAAAATTCTGGTCACTAGCGGATAGGAAATAGTTATTTTTGGAACATTTCTCAATTGACCAAATCATTTGAATAGTCAATAATCAACCACGCTTTGAGAAATCATAAAATGGAAATGAATCGAGTGTAGGTACATAAAAAAAAGCCTATAATTTTCAATAAGCCTTACATTCGGCGCCAAGTTGCAGATCTCAGGTTGAGGGGTTGTGATGGACTGATAGAAAAACGATGATCGATTGACACTTATAATGAGATTTTCACAAATGGTGAGAGACGGTTGTGGCTTAACAACGATATTTCAAAATTAATGATACTTAGAGACAAATATTTTGTCAAGAAACAGAAAACTCCGCCTTGGAAGAATATTCACTATTACAACTTTCACAATGAATATGTTAAGGAATCAGTTGAACTTGAGAAAAAAGTTTTATGATGAGGAGTTCGTAGAATCAACACCAGAGTCAACATGAAAGATCATCAATTCAATTATAAATTTCAGTTAAAAGGAAAAAATAAAAACTAGTTGTAATAATTTGAATGGAAAACACTTTGTTGACATTAGTTCAAAACTATCATCCATTATTGAGACTACTGAGAAAATAACTAGGAGTTATCTGAAATCAATTTTTCTGAACCCTGTAATTTATGATGAAGTAGAAGACATAATTAATAATTTGAGTACAAAAAAGCCTCTGGATTTGATAATTTTCAAACCAAAATATATGGATCATATTGTTATCCTAATTGTTATTATATAAAACACAAATTGAGTAGAATTTAGTCAGTTTGAAAACGCTTGAGAAAGCTATTGTATAGTGAAACTAGTGTTGTGTTTTTGTGAAACTGTTTAGTGAAAATCTCAAAATAAAGTGAATAGTTCAGAAATTATTTGCCTCAAAATTATTAACGAACTTAGCGGTTTATGTTTGGTAGTAGTATTTATACATGAAAAATAATGTCTCAAGACTTACAGGCTCTTCAACTTCTATGAAGTGCTTGTTATTATTGTTATTATAACTGAAAGCATATGAATTGATCTTCACATAAGTTCGTACGAATAATGAATGGTTGCTAGTGAGTTGTTCATTATCAGATGCTATTCCAATTACTGCGTGAAGTAAAACAGATTTATGAAGTCGCAGAAAGCTCTAATATTTAAATAAGTATAAATATTCCTAAAACAACAGCAATAATCAATTGAGAAATAAATAGAATTTACAATGGAAAACAAAAAATGGTTGCCCTCAAGACTGTTCCGTCCTGTTTTGTTTTTTCTTGTCTTTAGGGCTTGACAAAGTAATTAAAGGCACTCTACGAGGTACTTTATTGGTTAAGTTACCTTCCAACTTTTTGTGAATCACAGAATCATTGCTGTCATCAGAAGTGTCTGTCACAACAGAATCGAAGTTCTTAGTTTTCTTTTCACTATCACTTACTTCTGAAACTGTATGTTGTTGATCGACTTCCATGGTTTCACAGAATGTGTCTTCCTTTTCTTTGACACTTTTTTCGTTATTGTCCTGACTATCTTCCAACTGCAGACTGAAATCTTCAGTACAGTCCTCTTCTGTACCTAAGGCTTCTAGATTACTACTGGCAGGATTTGTTTTACTCTCCTTACCCCAAGCATCTCTTGCTTCCTCAGCTCCCAGATCAATTTCAATGATAGCTGAAGCTTCGGATTCAACACCTTTCTTCTTTCCGGCAGAACTTTTCAAAAAATTGAGTAGTGAATTATTTTTAGGTGGAGTACCTGTATTCAGCTTTTTCCTAACGAGTGAATTCATTTTGACTCGTGGTGGGTCCTCCTTCTTCCTTTTACCTGTTGATGGTTTTTTAGATGATGACGTCATGCTCTTATGTTCTTTATGGATCTGACTGTCTTTATTGGGAGTATGTTTTTCTTCAGAGGATGTGCCCCACTGTTTAGTAAGATCTTTAACAACTTTTCTTGAAGGTTTTGTTACCTTGCTTTTGCATTCTTGGCCTTCACTTAAATTTTCACTAATTATAACAATTTTGTGTGTATCACTGTTCAAATCTTTGTTTTGAACATTTTCAGTAACTCCTTTTTCACAAACACTTGATTCAGATTCTAATATTTTCGATTTATCAGTTTCAGTCAGACCTTCATTTGCACTGCACATTTCTTTATTTTCAGTACTATAACCGCTAATAGAATCTGGTGTGGAACAATCTTTCTCAAATTCTTTAACATTATTGTGTGAAGCTTCTGGCTCTCTAGGTTTTCTTCTTACAGCTATAGGCTTAGCTTCTACATTTGTAGGTTTTGGCATCATCCCAACTGGTTTAATTTCTGTATCTCTAGGTTTGCGCCTAATCTCAATTGGTTTAGCATCTACATCTCTAGGTTTACGTCTAACTTCAATTGGCTTAGCAATCAATTTTTGATCATCAGATTTGATAATGGTCGTTGGAGTTATCCTTCTAGGAAACAGCCTGTTAATTTCTACTCTGAGCTCTTTTTTCAGTACCTTAGGAGCATTTTCATCATCAGAAATCTCTATTATATCTTGAACGTCACTAATTTTGGCTCTCGGTACTGTTTTATCCGGCACTGGTTTCTGTTTTTGAGGGGTGTTCTGCACCCACTTTGCTATAAAACTTGTCTTCTTTTTCAACTCAACTTCTTTTTCGAGTTTATTGTTAATGTCGACATTCTCGTCTTTGCTCATTAAGTCTAAGCAACCACTTACATCCATTGGATTTTCCTCAATATCACTCTCATCTTTAACATAAGGTTCACCCAATTCTCCAGGTTCAAACGTTATAAGAGCACAAAACCCATCAGTGGAAGATGCAATTAAGAGTAGCCCATCTTTGGACCATGTTAAATCAGTGAGTCTTGTGTAATGGATTTGATGAAACCATGCAAAAGGTACAGTCTGCTGAGTATCATAAAGAATTACATCATGATCTGCACCTACTGCAAAAATCATGCGATATGGCGTCTTCACTAAGGGATCTGGACCGTCCTCGTGGTGTTGAAATAAAATAGGGCAGCATCTTACTACGGTACTGCATTGTTTGGGAAGTGGTAGGACTGCCGCTGGTCTGCAAAATATATAAAACTATCAAGGAAATATCACCCAAAATGTTATTTAGAATCATTATTTGAAAAATTTATAAACAAACCCTGGAATATCGAAGTTCCAGAAATCATACAATTCTCAACACTGAGAATAAAGGTTCTCAGAAATTACAAGATTAGATAAAATCCTTTTGGAAGAAAATTCATGGGTTCTGAACTACATTAGGAGGATTTTTTGACTTATGGCTGAATGGAAAGCCCAGGAATACTAATAAAATGTTCAATACTTGAAGAAGCATATTTATGCCATTTCTGAATCACGTTATATTATGTATTCCATACATGTGAATACTCTTCGCAGTTGTTGAAATGGTTACACAATAGAAAAGGTCATGACGAGGGGTTAGTCTTAATGCATAATCAATGATAGAAAATGAATTTTTATTATATACGAAACCTTATAAATGTACATACAAATGTAAATGTAGATATATACTACAAATCAATAAAAAATGATGACATCATAAACATACATGTCTGTAAACATAAATAGTACATAAGGTTATAATAGTGGTTAGGTAATATATGAATAACAAGATTAGTTTTAAATTGTTTTTTTTAAACAAAGACAAAACACAAGCACCAGAGACAAATCCTTAAGGCGCTCCAGAAAAGGTGCCTGTGCGAAAGTAGTGATTCACATTAGATTTGAATCACTGGAGATTAAATCCATTTGGAAAAACGTTCTCAGGAAGTTTATAATACATAAACGCAATTCTCTAAATGAAAGAGTTCTTGAACAGTGAAGTTGGAGGTGTACTTTGGTGTTACTTATTCAAGTTCGAGTTCGTACGAATAATGAATGGTTGCTAGTGAGTTGTTCATTATCAGATGCTATTCCAATTACTGCGTGAAGTAAAACAGATTTATGAAGTCGCAGGAATGGAAAAGTTGTTTGTCATTTATATGAACAGGACAATAAATATTTTGAAACCAAATATCTAAATATTCATCTCTCCCAACTACCAACAGCGTAAGTTCTGGTAAATGCCTGCTGGAAGGAAAACAACTACTTCCCCGGCAATAGCAACCATGAAGATGTTTCAATTGAGTGTTTAGCAAAGTTCCAAAGCAACAAAGCAGAATTCTTGCGTCGTTTCATAACCATGGATGAAATATGGGTTCATCACTTTACACCCGATACAAAAGAATAATCAAAACAATGGACTCAAAAGGGAGAACCGACTCCAAAGAAGGAGAAGACAGTTTCATCTGCAGGCAAGGTCATGGCATCGGTTTTTTGTGAAGCGTGTGGGATAATTTTCATTGACTATCTTGAAAGAGGTAAAGGCAACAACGTCGAGTATTATGCTGAAATTATACTAGTAGATCTTCTCGGTTTCAAGGTATTCCCTCTCATCAGTGCAGGAAAGATCCGAATCAAACAGCAATGTAACTGGGACTCAAATAATTTCAACAAAAAAATGATATTCAAGGCTTTTCATCATTTGCGTTAGTACCATTAGGCATCTGTAACACCGTTCTTTCTGTATGTAGCAGCTAATTTCACTGAATTCTCGCCTTTAACAATTAATGAACTAAGAAATATTATATTCTCGCTTGACAAAACTAACAAAGCAGAAATTTTAAATGATAATTTCTTAAAAAAAAGCTTTGATGTGGCTGGGTACGCAATATTAAATTTAATTAGCTGCATAAAGGATTGCTACCCAATTACTTTCAAAAATTCTTATTGAGAAATAATGAAGTTCATGATTACAATACGAGAAGAAATAACAATTTTTACATTAATAAAACTAACACTAAATTTGAAATGAATAGTATATTTCATAAAGGCTTAAACGAATTTAATAAACTACCACAATTTGTAAAAGAATCTAATTCAATGAACCAATTTAAGTCATCATTAAAGAAGTATATTAGTGACAGCTCATTATGATATTTGTAATTTTTTTTTTATTTTTTAATGTGAACTAACCTAATAATCTATAGATATGTATGTATATTTGGTTTTCCTTGAAAGGTACTTTAAAATGTTACTATATTTAAATAGTTAAGGTCGTGAGATATTTTTGAATTTGTAATTTTTCTTTTTTTTTGTATATTAGGCTTGCCTACTTAATAAATAAATACAATACAATACTGTTTGCCTATTGCAGCAAGGTAGCTCACTTTGACCATTACCGCATAGCCTTTGATAATATCTGTCGCAAATAATTTGACACCGGCTGAGATAGCTTGCACATCATAATTAAAAAGGAAACTCCTTTTACAAGTTTCACTGTTACAAATACTTCAATAACCGAACATATCAAATAAGGGTTTTGTTTGGAACACATGAATTTTTTTGTATATTTGTTTATCCTGTGTATTTGTCATTATTTGTGAGTGATTAATTTTTTGCTCTGATGTCTCAGATCGATGGAATAATTACTCACTTGGAAAAATCGAAAAACCTCAAATACAATGCTGACTCAAATTTAATACATAATGGAAATGTCAATTTCCTTCTACCTCAAGAGTTTCAGTTCACCCCAAGCCAACTCCTGGATGTGCCCCAGTCTTTATATCATTATTTCAACAGTAACTTCCATGAAAACATGTACTCACTCATTCCAGTTATCCATTGTGAATACCAAGGTAGCGTTCAAGATTTTTTTGCAGTCATCAGCTTGCATATGACCAGAGGGAACAATGAGCATTGAACCATCAGGAGTGAACTGTAGTCTTCGAAAAAATGATTTGAATGTGTCATCATGAAAGTATTTACTTTCTTTCTCATAAAGAAAGTGATCTTGAGACACCGGCAGTTTTCCCTTGTGTATCCTAGCTTTGACATGTTTACCAGTGATATCGAAGAATCGACAAATTCGATCAGTGCTTATTGTTGCCAAAAACTGGTTTTTTGGATCCCAAGCAACACCCTGCAAAAAATATTTATTAAAACTTAATTTACACAAGTTTTGTTTAACTATTGTTACATTTAATATATGAACCATAAGAAACTGACCCAAAATTACTCCTCAACCTCTTAAATATTCATGACTTATATATCCAGAATTGAAAAATTCCTTTTTTGCGTTACTTTCTAGATCTAGATTATAGGTCTCACTACTCACGAACAGTAAAATTAGTTATAGAAATTGATTAAAAATATGGTGTTGCCAAACCACTCCCTATTTTCGTCACTTTCTCTTGACATTTCTGATTGTTGAAGCGAGCTAAAAGTCTGATGGGTTGTTACGAGAACAGTCGGCCCACGTAAAGAGGGTACATGGCGAAAATGCATGCTCTGTAGTATGGAAAGTATCCCTGTTGATCAAAATCTTAGGGATTACATATACCATCTTCGGTGGCTGGATTATGAAGCTCGTCCCCAGCATGCCAACGAGGTGGTAGAAGTGGCAGTTCCATCACTCGTTGACGCTGTTTGAGAGGAGATTCGCATCATTCCACCAGTTGAAACACTCGGAAAACGCAGGGTGGTCCACCGAATGAGGTTCCTGAAGCTACAAAAGCTGGCTCGTTTAGATGCAGAGGTTCATGATGTTCTTACAGAAGAGGCTGACATCTGGAAAATCAACCCAACCGTGTTCAGTGATGTTCAATCACTTTCCGAATCAGGAGGACGGAATCCAGAGAATACTGTCTGGAAGATCAATCAACGATTACAGAAGATGGAAGCTGAGATCAAATCGTCGAGACAACACGCCTTTCATACCCAATGTGTGATGGATTACAGGGCAGGCAATGGACCTTTCACACCAGCCGATTACTCTATGAATCAAGGTGTACTGCTGACCACCAAGCAGCACTCTCTTGATAGGATATGAATGGTAGTGGCTGTTAAAAATTCACCAGCGCTTATTCCAAGAACCTCCACGTGTTGTGGATAATCGGCCAACTGCTGATTGTGGGGAATCCTTCAGGAATGACTTTTTGTAGAGCGCTTCAACAGATGGAATTTATTAATTTGTACTGTCCTTTGAGACACAGTTCAGGTATTCACAGTTTCATGCAAGGATTATTACAAAATATCAAAAAAAAATCATCAATAAATAATATACATATTACTGGAGTTTTTTCCCAACACCAAATCGTTATTTTTAGCACCTCGACACGATTTGGTGTTGGGAAAAAAACTCCAGTAATATTCATTACTACACCAAAGGTTCCAAACAGTGCATCAGAAGTAATAAATAATATATTATATTTGTATAATAAATGCTTTTATGAATATTTCAATAATACACCCTTGAAATATTGACTTTTTTATATTAACTTTTGAAATAAGTTTCAATATTATTATTTTATTTCATTTATTTATTTGTATTTACACATTATTCTTCAATATTTCACACTCACAAGATGAATTAAATTTTAATGGATGTTTGTTCATCTATAAACATATAAAGTACTCCTACTATTATTAACCTTCCACTTTATATGTCTGATCGGTATTGAAGCCAATACCAAACTCATACTATACTTTGAAGTAGATTTTCTGAATCAAAGTGATAAGAAAATCGATATTTCATCTCATTTTGTAGGATCACCAGATGACATACAGATATTGTTTCAACTACTTGAGTAGAATACATTTATGGAAAAAAGTAATGCCTGGAACTAGATCTTCATTTCAAATTGCTTACATGATGAGTAAACATCTTACATGGTGAATACTTTGTTACCAGCAACTCCTTTGTACATGCAATACAGGTTCTAAATATTCAACTTATTATTGGAGCCTTTGATGAAAGTTGAACCTAACTGAATCATTACAAGTATTAGAAGTAATTCAGTATTTGTTTTGAATTTATAAAAAAGCATTCAAAATAAAGAGTGCCCTGTTAGGAGGAACAAAATGAGAGACTGTTAAGTTTTTCTTGTAAGATGTGAAGAAGTGGTCTACTATGAAACAGATGTGGGGAAATATTGTATGGAAGTGAACCTGAGAGTAACTAACAGAAGAAAAATATTTTGAAAAGAGAGTTTTCTAATTGCAAGTGTGCATTCTGAGAGAACCAGGGAATGGTAAAACAACAAAATATGAAAAACATAGCTTTTTATCAATCTTGCTCCAAAAATGAACAACTGTGAACAGATTGTAGAATTGTCTTCACTTGTTTTGTTTGAGAAACAATATTTCAAATATTATAATTTCAACTTCAAATAAACTATTGAACACCTGCACGAAATGCTTGGCCGTGTTAGGAATCACACGTAGAAAGGTAAGACTTCGTTAATCCTTAGCTCGCACAAGTTTCTACTTCTGAGGGTTGTCGTTCGTAGGGGTGCGGCAGCTGGTTAACGGAAAAACATATTTTAAACAGATCACATGAAAATTAACAATACTCTTAACATCACACATATTTGATTATTGAAGAATAAAATATATCTTTCTTGCCCTAATCAGAAAAATAATTTCGAGAATTTCATCTTCACAAATTAATTCACCTGAACAAATCCTTTGTGATCAGACAAAATATGATCCATCTTGCCCTTTGAGAGGTCCCACAATATTGCAGTGTTATCTATGGATCCAGAAAACAACTTTGAATCATCGACTGACCAACATAAATCATAAATATCTTCTTTATGACCCCTCAATACCTAAAAACATAAGAGAAAATCAGAATATGAATTCTCAGAAGAAATTAATTATTCACCTTGTAAACAACCCAAATTTCTTTATCATCTGTTTCTCCTTCGAGCATCGGTATATTGTCACTCTTCAACTGCCATACTATGATGTTAGCATCGTCATCAGCAGAGGCTAAATAATGCCCAGATGAAGACCATCGAACTGTGTTGACTGCCTTTTGATGTCTGGTTAAATCTGATATAACTTCTTGTTTAACTGATCCATTTTCACATAAAGTCATTTGCCATATCTAAAGATGAGCTTACAATAAGTTCTTTGATTAGAAAACCCTTAGTACCTACCAATATATGACTGTCTCCACCACCTGAGGCTAACCTGTAAAAGTCATTTGACAAAGGATGAATATCTACACTAAGAACTGGTTCCCTATTGTGCCAAGATATTTCTGGAATGGTGCACCTCATATTATATTTTAGTCAAAATCCTTTAGTGCTTTCAATGTGTGAAAGATTATTTCACTTTCATTAAAAATTAAAATGTATAACTAAATAAAACACAACTTGGCGCCAAAACAATGTCACTTGTCACTTTCCTGCCAGTTGTCCAAATTCAAAAAAATATTCTCTCTCTCTGTCTTGAATATTAGCTTTTGCTTCCATTCAGGCGTAGTTAAGCCATGTCTACTCGTGGGGGCAGCCCCTGACCTTCAATTTTTTTTAGGCAGGGCAAAATTGAAAAATACCGCCCACGCCCACTTATATTTATTTTTACTTTCATCATCTTTATAATTTCAGCTATCAGATGTACACTAATTGATTGACATTTGGACATAGGCTTTCCTGAAATAATACATCCATCGTTGTTCTTTCTGTGTTGAGCCTATTTATTTAAAAATATATAGACATGAACGTATAGGATATAAATTTTGCACATAGCACAGCTTTTTATTCAGCAAATAAATCTATGGCCTTGTTATAATTTAACTCGTGTGTAATTCGATTTTCTATCGCTGAAATTGCAAGACTCGATAAGGATTCCTGGCTCATAGAAGATCGAAAACAATTTTTAATTAGTTTTAGTTTGCTAAAACTGCTCGCAGCTTGCGGATGAAGTAGGAAGCATAAGTAAATTCGCAGGGCAACGCAAATATCAGGAAAAGCATCCTGCTAATCATGCGCATAAATCTGTTGCAAGATATAGAAACCGTAAGCCTTTTCTATATCACCAAATAAAAGTGGAGCTTCCTCTTTAAAAACGAAGAGTTCTTGGCAGAATTCAACGGTGTTTAAATCTCGCTCGTATTTTCCAGCCAGATCTGCTCCATACTTTTACAGTTCTTTATTTTGACATTTTCAAAATATTAGTAGCATTAAGAAAAGCAAAATTCAAATTCAGCACGGTAGCACAATCAAACCACCTTTAAATTTCTGATTTCATTCAATTATATGCCATCATTATTTCTTTAGAAAATAGTTGAACAGGTTCAAGTGTTTGTAATTCATCTTCACAGATCTCATGAAAATATTTTTTACGTTTCGGAATTCGTTTGTATTGCAAAATAGGCTCAACACCAGTTTTTTTCAGCAACTTTTTCAGCCTTATTTATCCTATATTTCATTGGATTCTGTCTCATGCAAAGTTTTGAGCAGACCGTCAATTAGTGCAACAGAACGCACAAGGATAATATCTTCTTCCTGAATTTATATATGAACTCGATTGATTTCGTGGAGAATACTCGCCCAAATCGTTAAATTAGGAATTAATTTAAAATTATTTATAGCAGTTTAAAGATGACCTGCTTCGTACTTAGCTTCTGGAGCATTAGGCATTCACATGTTTGGACCCATTATCATAAGATTGATCACGACATTGTCCAATATCAAAATTATCACCTGCCAATTGTCCTAAAATCTGTTGAAAAATTTCTTCTCCTGTCCTTCTATGAAATCAATGAAACTTTTTTTTATTTCACCCACATATCGCCAGTTTTTTTTACATATCAAATTACCTGGCTCATTTGTTCTGTATGGGACAGGAGTGTAGTCGAACATTATCGTGTAGGCTTCTTTAATGTCATTTAAAATGCTATTTCTAACATTCTGTTTTTAAATATAGCTTCATCCCGTTCGCTCTTACGGTAACCAGACGCGTGCTGCCGCAATCTGCGATTCCTGCAGGCGAGCATATTTTAAACTATGCCTACGTTCCTTGCGAATCATAATATTCATGCCTGGTGAAGGTCAAAGTTAAGTAAATGATGAGTTGTCCATTCGTCTGCGAAGTCTGAATTTGGCCGCCCTCTTAACTTGGATGGTCGTAAGATCATCCAATACATTAGACGTAAACTGTCTGTTTAAAAAAATCTATTTTCCGTTAATCAGCAATCGCCCCCATACGAACGACAACTCTCAGAAGTTAAGAAACTTGTGCCAGCTAAGGACTAACGAGGTCTTTCCTTTCAACGTGTGATTCCTAACACGGTAACTCATTTATTTATTTATATAGAAGGAATACAAACGGGACTAACCCAAAACAGTATTCACAGATATGTTATTTCTCAATATTATAATCTATATCTATAAATAGTTTTTTAAATTGTTACGAAGTTGAGTGCATGGAGTAAATAAAAAAATGATACCTATACATAATAATACACATATACATAAATAACATATATACACACAAATACCAATCAAGTCTGTGTAGCATGAAAATGTTTTTTCAAGGTGTAGGAAAACTTTGAAAATGAGAAAGAAAAAATATTATTTGAGATGGATTTGACAGCGTTATTGTATGATATGTTGCACCTTTGCATTGGAGAGTTCAAAAAATAGTTTGTTTGTTACTGAATGGATGCTGGTGTCTAGTAATATACGTAGGAGCATTAAGGTAAATGTTACTAATAATAGCAGGCGAATCAACTAAATTATTTATGAATATTACTGGAGTTTTTTCACAACACCACCTCGACACGTGTTTCGATCACCAAGTGATCATCTTCAAGAGGAAGATCAAACCAGTATTTATAGTTGTTGGATTTGGACATATCTTTAGCTTTTTTTTAAGAGAAGTTTAGTGGTTGTTGTCAGTTGTTCATTTTTAAAGAGTCCTCTTGATATGTTGTCAATAATGAGACCCGGTTGACAAAAAACTATTCTTTTTTACCCGTGTCAGTAGCCATATTAGCTTCCAAACAAGTGTAACAGTCTATAATACGATAATACAACCTCACTTTGTATACTGTGCCAGCTTATTATCATTATTCGACAGTAATAGTAGAGAATCCTTGCAAAAGTTGAAAAATAGAGATATGCGAATTATTTTGAAATGCAACAGATTCACTCCTATCATAATTATGCATCAAGTCTTAGATTGGCTCTCAGTTAAAGATAGACTTTTCAATTCTTTTATGATTTTCATCTTCAAAATTTTATTTGATGAAGCACCTTCTTACTTCAATCATTACATTACATACATTAGTGAAATTCATGATTATCCAACACGCAGCAATACTAATCTATATGTTTCTCGTACACATTATTCACAATCTATGAACTCTTCATCGTGGTTTGCTAGAATTTAATAAGCTTTCAATAAATATTACTAGGTTTTTTTCCAACATCAAACCGTTATTTTTAACACCTCGACACGTGTTTCCATCATCTTCAAGAGGAAGATCAAACAGCTTACCTATTAAGAAATTCGGAAAACTAACACAATCGTCAACTACGTCTGGCCTCACGCGCCTTCCCGCATTGGAGTCGCGTTCTCGGTGATGGCGCTCTATTGCTTAGACCGCCTCTCTAACCCTGCGCATCGTTCCCCGTCGTCTTACAGTATACGCGACGCATAATGGCTCGCTGCGTTGCGTCAAGTTAATCTTATCGTGATAACTTTTAAAAAATTCGTCTAAATGACTTAGTGTTAAAGACAAAGTTTATCAATTTTTATAAGAATTTAACANTGAAAAATTGATATATGAAAAACCAAAAACTATAGTTTTAGTTATTTGAATATGTATTCAATGAATCAATGAATAAGGAAGAGTCTCAGCTCTCATGTTGAATTGAAAAGTGAAACTTCTATTTAGGCAAGTTGTGTTTCTTTTAATAATCAATATTAATCTACTGACTGTACTCAGAAACACAACTGTGTCACAAATAGCATATATTTTTCTGATGACACCAAACTCCAATCGAGAACACTTATTAAATTCATATATAATGTCAGATTTTGAATCGAGGTTGAGGTCTTATACGAAATAAGTAGAGGAAATCTGAACATGAGGCAGGCAGTTCAGACGAAAAAGGAAGAAGAGACTGTTTGTTAATGAAAAACTATGTTTATTGTATTATAAATTAATTTATTCTCACCATTTGGTATTTTCTTGTGACTTAAGGTGAGTTCGAAAAAATTTTTATAAGGTAGGATTTCTATAGTTAAATGTTAATGATCCCATATTTCGAAAATTTTCTGAGTTCCAAGCAAGCTACTTGGTTAGAAGCTACTTGGTTAGAAATTATAGTATTATTGCACCGATCAGAAAAACACAGACATCGAAGCTGCGAGAATCAGAACTTATAGTAACTTACATTTAGGTACATATAAGCCCTATTCATGAATAATGAATTAAACACATCCGTAATTAGCAGAATAAGCCATTATTATTTTCGTGAAGTTTTGTTTCGTACTCTTGCGTTTGAGTTTTTCCTAATTTCCGTACTCCATATTAATTGCATCAGAAATTTCTACTACATTTTTTTTCATCGAATTATGAGACGTTAGTTGTGACGTCAGCACGACACTTGCCGTGACTCTTCATTGTACATGGGTTAAATGTAGATGAAACGTCTTCCAGTAACATCATCAATATATCAAAAGGTAATAAATAGTACCGTAATTTTCCATGGTTCGTAAGGTAATAAACTTAAATTACTCCCTGTAAGAACGGTAATCGCTCAAAACGTTTCTGGCAACACTGTTCGTAACTCATTCGTAACAGCACAGCATAAGGTTTTTTATGTTGTGGTCACAGTAAAAGCTAAGTTATACCATACTAACTGTGCTGTGACTACTACTAGATTCTGTGCTACAGTACTTCCTCTCTCAGTGACATCTGTAAGCCAACATTTTAAGTTTTAGTAGGTGTCTACTCTACATGGAACATTAGGGGCCCACAGTTTTCTATAATATAGATATTACTTTTTAAATTCTTTGGATAGTTTTCAAAGGCTTGTAATAGATGTCACGTCGGTGTGGGAACAAGAAATACGGAACTTGATTTCTGTCTCGGCCATAGTAGAAAATGGCGATGGCAAGGAATTTTATGTGAACGAATGTGCTTGCTATTAGTGCGCGTACGGTTATTTTATAGAAAAATCGTAACTGTTTTAACATTCATAGTTTGATTGAAATGCCAATATGCAGAATGTTTCGCAAGATTCCTCTACAGATAATCCGAAAATAGATAAAGTGACTGTTCATGAACTAGGGAACTCATCGTCTACTCCCCAATCGACGACGGCCAATTCAAGTCCTGCAAAATCTGAAACTGAAACCTATTCAGAGCATCGCAGATATATGTCAGAAACATCAGAAAGCGAAGAAGATAGTGTATCAGAGGTAGGCTAATTTTGATAATCAATCGTCTCTTGTTTTTTCCAACAATTTCTGCCTCGAGGCCCAAGTATCAATGAACTTCTAGCCGAGAGACATCTTGTGGCAATAATTTTCGTGTTGTACAATACTCGCCCTAAAATATCGAATTTTCCAAGAATTCGCGGAAATTTTCCACTAGAATTGCCACTGAGCTGCCAGATATTCATTATGTAAGTACAGAAAAATTGCCATCCAAAAACTTAGTGCGCCTGGGTTATTGCAATGTTTCACTGCAAGAATGGTTTCCTAATGAGTAATGAGACTCGTCCCGTCCGACGTGAAAAAATCGAGTTGACCACAGTACACGTCAACTTCTTTTGTTTCTTGGATTTGGAATTTGACTGAATAAATATTTTTGATATTATGAAAAGGTAAAACTAGTATTTGATATTTCTTTTTCTGATCATATTTGGGCTCAAATATGGCAGTTTCTCATGAAGTCTTGCCTATTCTTCATTTCTTCATCATTTTAAAGATTATATAGGGATTCACGAAAAAAATTATTCATTTGATTCATGTATTCAAAAAGTGTGTCGACTTGAGTCAGCACATTTATTTGAGTTTAACATTTTATGTAGGTAGTGGTCAATATTTACAAATTTTTCCTGTCCTGCCAACTCTTGCTATATAAGAACTGAGTATAAAGGTGAAGGAAGCAAAGGAATTTTATGAATTTCTTGAATTATTTATTCATATTGGAAATGAAGCATGCCTGAACAGTAGTTTTTCCAAACTTTCACTATTGTTCAAATTTATTGAATTTACTTCTAATGGTGATCGAAACAATAGTAATATCCAGTTTTATTGTCTAATGCATTTACTTGTGATGATATTTCTAGTTTCTTCAAAGGGATGAATATTTCATAAATGAAAATGTACCTGTAAGGTACATTTTTAATGAAAAGTGGAATTACTAATGCATTTTGGAGTAAAATTTTGAAACATTTCAGGTTATGTTTCAATATCATCATGCTCTTACAATTTGATGTAATTTATGAAGCAGACATTCTATGTTTTATCTCAGTTTATTCCAAAACTAATCAAGGTTTATGAGTGATATTACTACTAATTACTTAAATATGAACATTCTTTTCCGTTTTGCAATCCTTTTACTTTTCACTGTTTTGTTCTTTTCTGCTGAAATTTCCAGCTTTTTTTACAACTTCTACTAAATAATTTGTGATTAAAAAGTGATTTTAGGAGAAATGCTTTTGTCTGTTGAATAATTTGTCAGGGATATTGTATAGATGTCTACTGAAACACATTCTCTTTCTGAACTGAAGCAATCGGGGTGGCATGACTTTGGATAAGTCACTGATACTTCAGAAGGACTTATCCTTGATCAGGCTAAGGATCACAAGTTGAAAAGTAGGACCTTCACCTTTTTGTAGCTCGCACAAGACTTCTGAAGGTTTTCATAGGAAAGTGGTTGTTACAATGATTTTAATGAAACCTGTGATTTCGCTAGATATTTTCTGAATCAAATTTCTTGATAGAAAACTTTCAATGATCAATACTTTGGATTAACACAGTATCTTCCACCAATTTTAGAAGAAGTTTTACTCCCTTTTATAAAAAAAAATCAATCTAGTTACTTAATATTTCCAATCTAAAATATGATAAAACGGACTGATACTCAATGAAAATCTATTATGATGTATTCAAAAAACACACTTTAATGCGAGATTTCCATTTGAAAGTTTACAAAACCGGAACACGTGTTTCGCTATACAATAGCATCTTCAGGGATCACAATTCTGCTTTTATAGTAATTTGAATCATTATGACTATTACTACCTGGCAAATTTCTACATCATAAATTCCTTACCTAAACTATTTACCTTTTTAGGCACAACTCATAAAGCTGAAGAATAATGAACACAATTTTTACCTGCACCTCATTTTATCTTCTCTTAAGACCTCTCCTAATCACCTATTTCCTCCTTGCAAACTGAATTCAATAAAGGGGAACAATTCAAATATATTTGAGGTTGAGTTTTGAACTTTCTCTTACAAAATCAGTATTGAACTCTTGCCCCTTGGTAAAAAATGGTTTGCAAATGTTGAATTGGTCTTTCCTTTCAAAAACCTACCTCTATGTTCTTTTATTCTTATGGTGAAAGTTCTTCCGGTTTGTTCGATATATAGAAATTTGTCAGTAATAGTCATACAGATTCAAATTAGTATGAAAGCGACACAGAATTTGTTCAAACAGTATTATAACACTCGAAGATGGTATAGCGAAATGACATGGTTTTGTATACTTTCAAGTGGAAATATCAATAAAGTAACACCACCATCTCCGAACTACTTAGTCAAAAACAATATAGGTAATACCTCTATAATTGAATAATTCAACTACCATTTTTTTTTCAAGATCTTGAGGCATTTCTGTTTCTCACACAATTTACATTTTTTCCTTGTTCTTTGTGTCATTATTTAGACTTACATGGCGAGTCAAATCTTATCGATCTATTTATATCAAAATGATTCTCATGAAAATAACTAAAGTGATTTTTCATCTACATGGAATAATTTCTGTAGTTTTCTACAGTTGCCAAGTTGAACAGTGGTATCAAAGTTCATCTTCTGATGACGTCAACCTGTAAGGTATATTATAGTGTAGTTCATACTTCATCTCATCCAACTTGTATGTACTTGTATGTATGTAACTTGTATGTATGTATTGTGTACTAGGTGATAATAATAGGTGATCACTCGATTGATATCAGCAGGGTCCTGCTGCTAAATCAATACTTTCCATTATTCGAATTGCATATTTTTGAAGAATGAAGATCCGATTCATACCGGCACTGTTTCCCCAATTCAGTATACCATACTTCATGTGGGAGTGGAAATGTGCAAAGTACAACGTAAGCAAGACATTTTTGCTGCAGTGGTCTTTCATATACTTTATGCTGCAGCAACTACTTCTCAGCTTATTAGACAAAAGTTCTATATGACTTGCCCGTTGCAGATGTTTGTCGAAAATTACTCCCAAAAGTTTCAACTCATCACTACTTACAAGTTATTTGTTTTTCTGTATATTTGAATAACACAGGTGATCTTTGATGGAGCGTCCAAAAACACTGTGACTGAACGATATCTTCATAAATCCTCTCAGTTTTACTCAGTCTGCATAACACACTATTTTTATATCGTGGTTTCTTTCCATTAAACTGATTATATCATTTACAACCAGAACTTCCAGTTCTACCTTTTAGCAACACTTGATCATTATTTATTATTTGGCCTCTCAGTTTCCCTGACTTTCAAAACTAATTTTCATGTATCATATTGGGTTTTAACCTGAAATTTTAATATGACACTAGGACATTAAAAAGCTGAATAAATCAGTAACTTTGAAGATGATTGAAAATCTGCTCGCACATTAGTTAATCTTTAAGATGAAGTACTTAATAAATGTGGAGGGTATATATAAATATAATGGGGAATCATGGTAATCTATGGTCAACAGTAATACATAAAATTTAGAAATGGAGAATTAGGTTGCAGAATCTCGTGAATAATTTATTTCTCTTGGAACTGCAGATAATTTTGTTCAGATTTGTTTTTTCCGTATTTAAGATGACTGGCCATGATATTTTGAACTGCAAAAATAAATTAGGAAATCTCCAATCTGCTGACTCATGAAATCACTTCTCAGAAATATGACAAATTATTTCAAACATGCTTAGATGACAGTCATTTTTTATCTTTGCATTTCATTGAATTCATGAATTTATCAAACCCATTTGATATGGTGTAAGAACTTGTTTCAAATGCAGTATTTCATTTGGCACAAGAAATACGAAATGTCTACATCTATTTCCATAAATTGTGAAGTTTAAGAAAGGGACATTTTGCTTCTGAATAAAAGATATGTGAATATCCACAAAGTTTCGTACTTTAGTGTAACTAACAAAAATATATGGTAAAAGTTTTTTTTTATAATAAAGATTGTGTGTAATGCTACATAAGTGAAGTATATCAATATTAAAATGTTAAAAGACCCACCTCCGACCAGAGTGGGTCTTCTACTGTAAAAATGTACAGCTATATATTTTAATTGCTTTTCACTTTTTGTGAAATAAAATAAGACTTTTAAACTGGATCCTATTATATCTCAGGTCAAACAAGATCAGAGCTTCTTCCCTAAGCATACTCCAGACCCTCGCTGGATGTTCTGCGTGTCCTAATACTAGAGTGAAAATTAATGAAGGGTGGTCCAACCAAAATGCACGATGTTAATTGTGAATAAAACAAAAAGGTTTCAGAGAATTATCCTAATATTTTTCATTATGACAGAAGGATCTATGATCATTATGTGTGAAACAAAATATTGGCCAAATGCTTGCCACGGCTTTGGGGGCATACCTCTATCCGATGGTCCATATTTTCAATGAGTCTGAGACATAATTGATGTTCTTTGTCGTTAATGTGCTAAATTATCTCATCCTTTAGCTCTTGAATCGTTCTTGGATTCTTGACGTACACTTTGACTTTTAAATATACCCAAAGAAAGATGTCCAACGGTTTCAAATCACATGATCGTGGCGGACAATTAACTTCCTCATGACATGAGATATCCCGGCCATTGATTTTCTCGCACAAAAGAGCCATTGTTTCGTTGGCTGTGTGGCAATTGGCACCATCCTGTTGGAACCACATATCGTCCAGGTCCATATCCTCGATTTCTTCCCACAAGAAGTCTGTTATCATCTCGCGATAGACACCATTTTAGGTAACTACCTGGCCAACCTCATTTTCAAAGAAGTACAATTGTGTACCTCTCTATGGTTCAATTTGTCAACACTGAAACAAAGAAATGTCAAATTAAGTTGGGTGAAAAACTTAA